TTTTGGAAAAGTCAGACTACTGTCAGAAAGTTGCCCCACATCTAGATAGGTGCGGTTTTAGCGTTTTCAAAACGCCATCGCACCAAATAAGCTGCTCCAAACGGGCCATAAATTTGAATTTACATAGAAAAATAAATAGAACTAAAAAAATAATAAATAGAGCGCATGATTTAAATTTTGCTTTTTTTAAATTCATAGCTAAAATCACCAAACATCCCCTCAAATAATTTATATTTGTTATGCTTAAAGAAGTTTCTACTGAATTAAACATAACTTTTGATGAGAGGCACACAGTATTTTATGGCAATTAAAAATGCTGAATTTATGCATGATTCATCTCAATTCAACTTGATCGAGACGCAAAAACCGACACAAATTATTTGCATAAATTAGACAGGAATAAAATTTTTCTGACACCTAATTTAACGTCAAAAGAGATTAGACGAAAATCAGACGCAACCTCTAAACAACATCGAATCTGTGTCTGATTTGCTTCTCATCTATCTTACGTAAATATGTTAAATTCACGTAGTGATCCACATATTATCATACAAACAAAATACTAAGCAATAGTTATTTTTAATTTTGAATGGATCATAAATACAATGTTGAATGGTTATGATTTTCAATTTAGTATATTTTTAATTATTTTTGTATTTTTTACTTATATATTTCATCATAAATATTATAAGTTCTTAAAAAACACTAATATAGTATCATAAAAATGTATGGCATGGAATTGTCTCCATATACATAATTATTTTAAGATTCTTATCATTGATTTCTTGAATTGCATTTCCTTGATAGTTGTTGAGACAATATTATTATATGTAAATTCAAAGGTTAACAAAATGTAAATCCCAATTACCTAAATATTTTTCAACTAATATTAGAAAATTTGTAACATTGAAATAACCAATTATTGCTTTTGTGACAACCAACTACGATCTTTGTGCCCAACTATCACAATTACAACGAAAAAAAACATATTTTTTGTCGCCCAATTATTGTCATTATAGCTAAACTACTATCATACATTTGTGATCATCAATTTTGCAATTTTATCTTCTCTAATTCAGGAAAAGAATTGATTTGTGTACTTACAATTACATAGTCGATTATTTTAATTGTGTGAGGCTCTGTCGTTTACTCTCTTTTCAGATTTTTTTTTTCCACATAAAAATTCTGATGTCTCATACTATTTTTCTTTTATTTGCATGTGTGTCAGATTTTCATTCAACACAAAAATTCTGATGTCACATAAAAATTCTGATGTCTCATAATATTTTGGATCAGGAATAAAATTTTTCTGACACCTAATTTAACGTCGAAAGAGATTAGACGAAAATCAGACGCAACATTTAAATAGCGTCGGATTTGTGTCTGATTTGCTCCTCATTTATCTAATGTAAATATGTTAAATTCATGTAGTGACAGACATATTATCATACAAATCAAAATACTAAGCAATAGTTATTTTTAATTTTGAATGGATCATAAATACAATGTTGAATGGTTATGATTTTCAATTTAGTATATTTTTAATTATTTTTGTATTTTTTACTTATATATTTCATCATAAATATTATAAGTTCTTAAAAAACACTAATATAGTACCATAAAAATGTATGGCATGGAATTGTCTCCATATACATAATTATTTTAAGATTCTTATCATTGATTTCTTGAATTGCATTTCCTTGATAGTTGTTGAGACAATATTATTATATGTAAATTCAAAGGTTAACAAAATGTAAATCCCAATCACCTAAATATTTTTCAACTAATATTAGAAAATTTGTAACATATTTGTTGAAATAACCAATTATTGCTTTTGTGACAACCAACTACGGTCTTTGTGCCCAACTATCATAATTACAACGAAAAAAAACATATTTTTTGTCACCCAATTATTGTTATTATAGCTAAACTACTATCATACATTTGTGATTATCAATTTTACAATTTTATCTTCTCTAATTCAGGAAAAGAGTTGATTTATGTACTTACAATTACATAGTCGATTATTTTAATTATGTGAGGCTCTGTCGTTTACTCTCTTTTCAAATTTTTTTTTTCCACATAAAAATTCTGATGTCTCATACTATCTTTCTTTTA